GATAATGCTTTATTTTGTGTCAATGGCAGCTTATGTTCTTCAATATCAACTAGCAGAGCTGTTTTTTATGTTTTTTTATGCAAGTTATCTGGTTGGACGTCCTGTTATGAATAGCTGGATTTGTATTGAACGCTACATAGCCGTGGCTCGTCCGGTGATGTACCGTAATCCATCCTATGTGAAGCACAGATACATTATTTCTGGTCTGGTCTGGTTGGCTGTCATGATTTATGGAGGCAATGCTGTTTCCACCTATCCGCACCTCTATATGGAGGTCTACGTTGTGGCCTTATCAATCAGCATTTTAGTGATCGCCGCTTGCAGCTTAAGGATGCTTAAGATCCTGCTGAAACCAGGTCCTGGTGAAGCACACAATGAAGGAATGCACCGTCAGAAAAAGAGGGCGTTTATAATCATCACTGTCATTCTGGTGTGCATTTCTGTTCCTTATATTGTGGTTGTTCTGCTGTTCCTTCAAAAGAGATATATGTCCACTGATATCTTTTGCCTTGTAGTGAGCATCAATTTCTGGATGATGAGACCAGGCAGTGTGATACAGTCCGCTCTCTTTCTGTCCAAGAGAGGGAAACTGCCATGCACTAAAAAAAAAAATCCATAAAACATGTGGGTGTTTATTGCAAATATAGCCCATATGCTGGTTCTTTAAATATGATTACTGTAAATAGTTTGAGGCACTTTAAAATATGATAGGTAAAGAAAATCTGTTGAATCTCTAAAAAATTTAATTAAATTAGCTTAGATGAAAGTCGGTAATAAGTCGGTAGTGCCTTTTTCGTTCGCTTAGGACAAAAGTGTCTGCTAAATGATTGAATGTAAATGTGTAGATTAGATTAAAGTTTGTTCTATTTTGATGAGCTGTAATCTATCGAACTGATCTAACTGTACAAATATATTTGTGATAAAATGACAGATTTAACAATAAAGACAGGGTGAAAATTGGGTCTGTGTGTCCTTGACTATGAGCATATTGCTATTAATGTTACTCCACAATGTACAAGTCACAGTAAACATAAATAAAGATTTGTTGATTCCTGCAACATAATCATTCAGACAAAAATAAATGCTGAATTGATGTTATATTAAAACAGAGAATTGTGAATGGAAGTTTTGATTTAACACATATATATGAGCAATATCACACAAGTAGTGTGATGTGGCTGTATGTCAGCACTGGTGTATACAGCCCTATCGTATACTTCTATGAGTGTGATATTGCAACACTTTGACGATATAATAATGTTTGTAAAAGAAAATCAAAATGCAGACAGTCTAATAATCCTTTATGAGGAACTACTTTCTTCTGCCATTCATTCACATCTGCAGCTGACGTCAGAACAGCAAAATCCATTGCTACTTCACAAACGTCACTTTGTAGCTAGTATTTTAATGATTCGCATAGTGTAATGTCTAAAGTAATGACAAAACAGGGGATTTTGCTCACATTTAAATATTATAAGGCTGAGCGGCATCAAATACCATCAGTCTTTCTCTGTTGCAATCGGGATCTCACAATAATTAACCCAGAAAAAGCCAGAGCAAAGCAGACACTACCAGATTGCTGTGGTATAAATACAGCCGCCAAAGCACTGAACCTTAAAAATTATGAAGATTTAAAATAGGCACTATCCTTATAAATAAACTGCTGTTGCAATCCAAACAACTACACTCCTATCGAAAAAGCCCTAAAAGTACATTATGTTGTCCAATAGCTGCAATATTTGTCAAGCTGTAGTCCACTGCTTGCAACTGGTATTGGCGGAGTAATACACAAGGATCAAGAGGCTGTACAAGTGCTGATATTAATATCTCAAAGCTATCAGCCAATCAGATTCGAGAACCAGTCAGAACTGTTGTATATATATCACACACAAACATAATTTTTTTTTCCAAAAATGAGAGATGGGTGGAATAATTGTCCTGTCTTTACAGATTTGTTAAGTAAGCGATCAGTTGTCTTTGTTTTTTTGTTTATTTAGATGGCAAAATTAGTTTGTATCATCAGCAGAACTCTTTCAGTGTTTAAAGACAGACCTTAGTCAAAATGATTTCTAAGTTACTGTTTACAGTACGTTAACATCACTACAATATTATAGACTGAAAGATCCGCTGTAAATGCGCCTCTCCGAGTGTTAACATGTAAACACCGCAATCAAACTTACTGTTGTGTAGGATTTTCACCGCATTTTGTAACAGGTATAGTCTTTACACACACGGCTTTCTGATGTACCTACCGAGTGCATATAAGTTGAGGAATGCTGAGAATTTTTTCTCTCATTCGCCGTGTGGTATCAAACATTACATTAAAAATACACGCTTCAAGCAGTTCCTCGAATCAGACATCTCGTTTGTCACGAGGGGCATGAATGAAACTCATGAATAAAAGTGCCAAACAGCAGTTAAAGTCCACCATTTAATAATTTGCCAAATAATTTGATTACTGATGTCCATGTAAACACAATCACTGTCTTTCTCCTCTGCCTCTGTGTGTTTTTTTTGCCTCTGTGAAAATCAGCATGCGCCCAAACCAAAACTCCCATTTTAATGCACATTTTTATGCACCTTCCCTCTTTCCCTCCTCCAACACTCCCCCCTAAACAGAGCTGGACACGCCCACTTTCCTAAATTTTTCCAAACTAAAGGTGTGAAAACACCCTGCTAAAACAGGAGGGTTTCGTGGCCCTTTAGCAAGATAACATTAGGGTTATTACACCAGATATGAATTTCCTTAATGTTGGTACTGGTTTTGTGTTGTCTAGAATTATTGTAATCATGATACATTTTTTATATTTTAAGCAATGTGTGCAATTTGTATCATCTAGATGCACTGGGGTGCATCAGTGATGTATCCTGCTCATTGGGTGTTTAAGGTCTTTCAGCATCAGACATCCTCACCCAGGTGATCCAGCTGAGGATGATCAGAGCCCAGCTTGCATCCCAGTATCGCTAGGGCCAGACAGAATCTGCTTACATTTTTTACTATTTCTGCTAAGAATTTTGGTAAAAATCTGCGGATTTCTGCTGAATTTTTTGGGAGTATCATAACTAAAACCTTAATATGTGAAACAAAAAATATTATCTTTTAAACTTTTATTTAACTTTTATTTATGTTATGTCCCAGGCCACCGTGGATTCAAGCATAATCAACTGTCTGCCTGAGAAATTATAATTTTGTCTGAGCGGAGTGATCCTGTAACTATGTGCTGTGGGAACTTTCCTATAGTCCTAGGTGGACTTGCAAATGCCTGTCAGGTGCCTGTCAGGTGGATTCCTCCAGCTTTAACAAAGTCAGTCCTCCTTTTCGGGGTAAGAAGGTACCAGAGATGATGGCATTGCATGCTTTCTGCCACTGCCTTCAGTACTTAAGCACCAGGGCCTTTGGACTGCTTCATAAGCAGTGAAAGCATACGTACATACGATTAAGGACACAGTTATTAGCCCTCCTGTGGTATTTTAAAATTAAAACAAAAAATCCAAGTACTTTTTAACAGAGCAAGACATTTTTCACAGCATTTACAAATATATTTTTTGAGAAAGTTTTGTTTCTTTAAGTTTAATATTTATTAAATTTCTTTTCAGTTAGTTCCTTTATTAATCTGGGGTCCCCACAGCGAAATGAACCGCCAACTTATCCAGCATACGTTTTACACAGCGGATGCCCTTTCAGCTGCAACCCATCACTGGGAAACACCCAGAAATTTTTATACAGAAATGCCAACTGACCCAGCTGAGGCTCGATCCAGCGACCTTCTTGCTGTGAGGTGATTGTGCTACCCTCTGCACCTCCGTGCTGCTATTTATATACAATGTAAAATAAATTAGTTATTAAACTATTATGTTTAAAATGTGTTTAGGGGGGAAATCTACTCTTCATTAAACAGCACTTGAGAAATATTTGAAAATACTAATTTCACAGCAGGGTGATTTCTAGACTTCAATATGCAATATATGTACAATATAAATCAGGAAATAATCTGTAGAAGACTGGAATACAAGAATATACTATTATAAAGTGATAAGAACAATAAGTAAAAAAAGTAATAGAAAGAGAAAAAAAGAGAACAAAATAAAGATAGGGGAAGTACAAAATTAAATTAAATAAAAAAATACAGAAAGCATTAATAACATACAGGAAGCATTATATTTTCATAAGTTTCTAGTAACTTGCACAATTTTTTGTTGTTAGATAGACATATCTTTAAGCAAGAATTCCATTTCAATAAAAAAAGGGCAAATAAGGCAGAGGATTTAAGACATTTTAGTTTTTGGATAAAGAATTTTGCATATAATATAAAAAAGTTATCTAAATATTCTTCATTTTTATTATTGGGATTAGAATATTAACAAATAATATCTTTCGTTTTAAAGGTTTGTTTTGTTGATTGGGATTTATTCAAGTAATTATATAGATTTGACCAAAACTTTTGTTAGATTTTACATGTAAAAAAACATGTGAGTCAAAGTTTCCTCATTTTCCTGACAGAAAGAACAAGTATCTGCAATATCTGTAAATTTTGAGATAAATGCATTGACCGAGTATATTTTGTGTAGAATTTTAAAATGGATTTCCTTTGCTTTGTTTGGGATTACATATTTATATGGGAGAAGCCATGTTCTTTTCCAATCAATATCTTCTATTAACGAATAATTAGGCTATTAACTTAAGTTTGTTGTTAAATTTCTTATCATATACACTAATACCTTCTAATAATAAGGAGGGTTCTGTTTTTTTATTTATGTATGAAATGTGATTTTTTGTTAGATGTATTAATTATTTTGGGAGAGCATTTACAATAATGTTAAATTTCTTGAATGGGATTGGAAATTGATGCATTTTCATAATCTGTTCATAAGTTAACAAGTTCCCCAAGTCATCAAATAAGGAAAATAAATGTAATATATTTCTGTCATACCAATTTAAAAAAATAAGGATTTCTTCAAGATGCGCGCTCTTGATTCGGGGGTGGGTGCTGTGACGTATTCATTACAGATGCCCGTTGTTTGCGGAAATGATCATCAGAGGGCGAAGGTTGTGCAGGCACGATGGAGGTATGTAACGGTTTTTCTTGCAAACACTGACATTTTGATCTCAGAGCACACCTCAATATTTATGTCTTCGTGATAATTACTAATATTTGTAGCAACTTTTTTTCCGCATGTGAATGCTGCGTTTTACATGACGGGTTGCAGTTTCGTTTCGTTTTAGGGAACTTTGGAAGCACATCAGTTCAAATGTAAATCTGCGCAAAATAGCGTATATTACATTACATATTACACAAGTTAATGTACATAATGAGCACTGAATGTAAGGTTTGTGTCGCTTTTTATTTTTTTTTATTAGTCATGCTGAATAAATACGACGTTACGCTTGGCATGACAAACATGTATTTAGAGTTCACTCATGGTCTGTTCCTCCATATTATTTTCTCTTTATATTATCCACAGTGCAATAATGTTTAATATGCATATGAAATTTTGCTGCAAAAAAAATGAAAATTAGAGTAAATGGAGACATGTATGTTTTATTTGTGTTGGGAGCAGGTGCGCAGGAAGCTGCTGAACTCTGTTGACAGGTGTGTGGACGAGGCTCTGGAGGGTCTGGTCAGGAGTCACGGGGGTCTTGTGCTGCTGCAGGGCCACAGGGTTGTACTGCGCTCCGATCTGCAGAGCATTAAGGGAAAGGTAGCTCTACTGTCTGGAGGAGGATCTGGCCATGAACCCGCTCATGCAGGTAAAGTGTGATCCAGCGGCTCCTCCTTTCCATCTCTCTGGCACAGACGAGCACTTGCTCACCTCACACTGTAAAGCAGAAGTCTAGAATAGGAGAGCTTACACAGTGCTTAGTCTTAAACTAAAGGACATGCAAACTTCTAATTTTAAAGAATATTTAAAATTGTGTGCAAAACTATCCCGCATCCTGTTCAGCCCCTGTTACTTGGTACGTACAACAGTGTTACTTTGAATACACTATTTTCTATAATAATTTGGGCAGGGCAAAGAGTAATCAAGAGTAATCACAACCAAAATAAAGGTTTGTTTTGACATAATATATATATATATTTATTTTGTATATTCATACATACATAGAACCAAAACTATACAAAACAATTTAGTTACATAGATATTTAAATGTATATGTAATTAATATCGTATATACATACACTTTATAAAATAAACATTACATTAAATTAAACATATCATTAAATAAACATTTTCTCAAACATATGCATGTCAAAATAAACTTTTATTTTGCATGTGATTGATGACAATGCATTTTTGCCCAGAACTAATAAAAATGCATGCATGCACTCACTGGCCACTTTATTAGGTACACCTGTCAAACCGCTCATTAAAGCAAATTTCTAATCAGCCTATCGCCTGCCAGCAAGTCAATGCATTTAGGCATGTAGACATGATCAAGACGATCTGCTGCAGTTCAAACCGAACATCAGAATAGGGAAGAGAGGTGAATTAAGTGGCTTTGAACGTGTCAAGTATTTTAGAAACTGCTCATCTACTAGGATTTTCATACACAACCATCTCTAGGGTTTACAGAGAATGGTCAGAAAAAGAGAAGATTTTTAGTGAGAGGCAGTTCTGTGGGCGCAAATGCCTTGTTGATGCCAGAGGTCAGAGGAGAATGGCCAAACTAGTTCCAGCTGATTGAAATGCAGATGGGCTACAGTGGCAGAAGACCACACCGGGTGCCGCTCCTGCCAGCCAAGAACAGGAAACTGAGGCTACAATTGGCACAGGCTCACCAAATATGGACACCAAAGGATTGGAAAAACTTACCTGGTCTTATAGGTTTTTGATTTCTGCTGTGACATTCGGATGGTAGAGTCAGAATTTGGCGTCAATAACATAAAAGCATGAATCCATTCTGCCTTGTAACAATGGTTCAGGCTGCTGTTGGTGGTGTAATGGAGTGAGGGGATATTTTCTAGGCACACTTTGGGCCCATTAGTATCAATTGAGCATTGTGTCAACTCTACAGCCTAACTGAGTATAGTTGCTGACCATGTCCATCCCTTTATGACCAGAGTTTACCCTTCCTCTGATGGCTACTTTCAGCGGGATAATACTTTCAACAGGTTTCTTGAACTTGACAATGAGTTTACTGTACTCAAATGGCCTCCACAGACACCGGAACTCAATCCAATAAAGCATCTTCGAGATGTGGTGGAATTGTAGATTCACATCATGGATGTGCAGCTGACAAATTTGCAGCAACTTTGTGCAGCAACCATATTGACAACACGTGTTGTCAATAAAAACCAAGGATTAAAGCAGTTCTGAAGGCAAAAATGGGTCCAACCTGGTACTAGTAAGTTGTACCCAATAATGTGGCCGGTGAGTGTATGTGCACCATATTTTTTATTGTGCAGTTAAAAAGTCTGATTGCCTAGGTAGTAATCCAGTGAGAATTTGGCTTCCATTAATATTGTAACATATTTGCTTATTTATTACTTGTTTTACAACTGAGGTCTTTGTGCAAACCTCCAGTGTTATGAAATGACAAATTACTATTACTGATATCAGAACTGAAAAAAAATGTGTTGAATAGATAATCATAATAAAGTTTGTGGTTTCAAACAGGTAAATGTTCTTTTGAACGTTCTATTCATAAAAAATGCAACAAGTTTTTTTTTTTTTTTTACAGAAATATTAAGCAGCTGTTTTTAACATTAATAATTATCAGAAATGTTTCTTGAGCATTAAATCAGTGTATCTAAGTGTTTTTTAAGGATCATATGACTGAAGACTGGAGTAAGGATTCACAAAAGTCATTTTCTTATTAATGTATATTTAAATCCACAACAGTCATTTTTTTATTGAGCATATATATATTATACAATTTCAATCAACAATATAAAAAAGGCTCAAATATTTTTGTGTAAATATACATACAAAACAAAGCAGAAAAGACAAACAATGTGGAAGTAGAATACAATTTTGTAGCAAGAAGTACAATAAGAGTTTATATATAAAAAATGGAAGAAAATATGTTTATACAGATACTGATTGTAAGAAGTCTATGAAGGGTTGCCAAATATTATAACAGTCATTTTTTAATAATAATGATAATAATAATAATAATAATAATATTTAAAAATATTATAATTTGTCAGTTAAATACAATATTGGTGAATATAAAATGTTTATTGCCAACCACAAACCTTTGTATGGTAATTTAGTCTACATTTATGCAGATGCTTGTTGATGTGTGTATATTTCATATACAGTCAAACTTTACAATTAGGTTTCATTAATTAATGTATTTACTTACCTGAACTAATTCTGAACAATACACGTCATGGACCATGAGTTAATATGAACTAACAATGAACAACTAACATAAACAAATACTGTAATACAAATATTGTTTGTTGTTTGTTTGTGTTAGTAAATGTATTAATTAACATGAACTAATACAACCTTACTGTAAAGTGTTGCCTATTTATGAAGTATGCACTTTAAAAGTTTGCATGTCCTGTAATTTAAACACCTGTTGTCATTCAGGCTTCATTGGAGAGGGAATGCTGTCCGGAGCGGTGGCTGGATCAGTGTTTGCATCTCCTCCTCCTGGAAGTGTGTTGGCCGCCATTCTGACCCTGTGGAAAGGAGGCGCTTCAGGCGTCCTGCTCATCGTCAAGAACTACACGGGAGACCGGCTGAACTTTGGCATTGCTGTGGAACAGGCCCGGTCACAGGGTGTCCCGGTGGACATGGTGATTGTGGCCGATGACTGTGCCTTTGCTCAGCCCAGCAAGGCCGGACGGAGAGGCTTGTGTGGAACCGTGTTCATTCATAAGGTACCATGAAAAGCCTCACCAAAGAGCTTGATATGGTTGTAGTCATCGCTTGCAGCAAAATCCACTTTTTCTTCGTAGTTAGCAGGAGCTCTGGCAGAGAAAGGCTGTGCTTTGGGTGACATAGTTGCACGGTTGAATGAAGCTACAAAAAGAATAGGTAAGAAACCATCATAGCACCATCTGGTTTTCTAGTCCACCCACTATCCTACTGTATGTAAATATATATATATATATATATATATATATATATATATATATATAAATACATATACATAAACATATACACACACAGTACACACATTTTTGTGTCTTAACAGGCACGTTGGGCGTTAGTCTGTCTCCATGCAGTGTGCCTGGATGCCTGCCGACTTTCCAGCTTCCACCTGGAGAGATGGAGCTGGGACTGGGTAGGAGACATTTATAACAAACATACAAACTTTAAAAAAATACTTTTGGTATGTTTTTTTTATTTATTTATTAATTTTTAAATGGCTTATGGTCACCATAGAGGCAAATTGAGTTAGAGACTCAATGTGAAATATAATTAAATTTTTTTAAAATTCTATGTTAACTGTATACTATATTTTATTTCTGTGATGCAAATTGAATTCTCAGGAGCCATCAGAGGAAGCTCTGTTGTCATAACAAACTTTTGTTATAATTATCAATGTTAACAATAATTGAGGGCTACCAGGGATTTAAACATTTTGCGAGAAGGAAAAACAAATATTATTATTAATGTTAACAATAATTTTGTTGCTTTTAGAAAACTTTGATGAATAGAAAGTTAAAAATATTTAAATAAAAGTAAAGGAAATAGAAATCTTGTATAATGTTTAAAATGTCTGTTCTGGCAGTTGTGATCAATTTAAAGCAAAAGGTCACCCAAAAAATGTAACTTTACGCACTATTTACTCACACTCGAGTGGTTCCAAATCTGTTGACACAAAACACAAAAGAAAATATTCACTTCATGTGGCCTGTTAAAGCTATGTGAAATCTTAAATACCATATCTTTATGTAATTACTGTTTACTAGTCAGTCAGTGGTGACACAGTGGCACAGTAGGTAGTGCTGTCGCCTCACAGCAAGAAGGTCACTGGGTCGAGCCTCTGCTCAGTTGGTGTTTCTGTGTGGAGTTTGCATGTTCTCCCTGCATTCGCATGGGTTTCCTCCGGGTGCTCCGGTTTCCCCCAAATTCCCCCCAAAAAATTCCCCCACAGTCCAAAGACATGCAGTACAGGTGAATTGGGTAGGCTAAATTGTCCGTAGTGTATGAGTGTGTGTGTGGATGTTTCCCAGAGATGAGTTGTGGCTGGTTGGGCATCCGCTGCATAAAAACGTGCTGGATAAGTTGGCGGTTCATTCCACTGTGGCGACCCCGGATTAATAAAGGGACTACGCCGACAAGAAAATGAATGAATGAATAGTTAGTCATTCAGACTCTAAATAAATAACTGTTCAATTAGCAGTTTATACACACGTCATGGTTATGAATGATAGAATACAGTTAATAACAGTTAAAGTCATGTCTAATTTTCGCATTTATTCAACAGGATCGTAAACAATTGTCAGTCACCATGTGAAAGGAAAAGTCGGTTTATTTTTTTAAATTGCACTTAAGGGGAGTTAAAGGGGCAGTTACCCAAAAAATGAAAATGCACTCACTATTTACTCCCTTATTTGTTTCAAACTGCTTTTAGTTTTGTTGTTGTTGTTGTTGTTGTTGTTGTTGTTGTTGTTGAACACAGATAAAGATATTTTGAAGTGTTATATGCTTTCTTTAAAATATCTTCTTACATGTTTATTAAAAAAAAGTGAAAGAAACACAAACAGGTCTGAATTGTAAAGCAGGAGTAAAGAATGACAGAAATTTTTTTTCTGTCCTAAAAGAATGTGGTGAAGTTTTAGATGAAAAATAAAGTTTTAAGTGAACTGTCTGTGTAAATGTCTTCTGTGATGCAGCTCAGAACAAAAATCATTCAGATTTCACAAGTAGTATCAAGTTAGTAATATATATTAAATAACCAAAATAGATCATTCTGAATATTTGTTTATTATTGTTATTAGTTAAAAATAATTACCCTGTAACATTCTGGAGAGTTTTTATAGTTGCCAAAAATAACCTGAAACAATGTTCACTTTGGTTATTTAAAAAAAATAGTTGTCAGAATTATTAGCCCCCCTTTGAATATTGTTTTCTTTTTTAAAGATTACGCAAATTATGTTTAACAGAGCAAGGGAATTTTCCCAGTATGTCTGATAATATTTTTTCTTCTGGACAAAGTCTAGAATAAAAGCAGTTTTTAATTTTTAAAAACCATTTAAGGCTTAAAATTATCAGCCCCTTTAAGCTATATTCTTTTCAATAGTCTACAGAACAAACCATCGGTATACAACAACTTGCCTAATTACCCTAACCTGCCTAGTTAACCTAGTTAAGCCTTGAAATGTCACTTTAAGCTGTATAGAATGTTATAGAATATTAATATAATATATTATTATTATTATTATTATTATCTAAAAAAAATTCTAAATGTTTGTTTTTGTTTTAATTTGATAAATAATGTATTTTGTATTCGGTTTACCAAATACTGAAGAATGCCTGCCCGAGGGCTACTAGGGATTTTGAAATTTTGCGAGCAGGAAAAACAAATACTATATTTATTTATTGATTATTTTTGTGTGGGCTATCCATTTAGAGAATCTTGGCTTTCTCATATATATTGTGGTGTGAAAAATGTTTGCCCCTTACTGATTATTGTGTTTTGTTTAATCCTTTGATTACCCTTCATTCCTTCATGATGTGTTTACTTGTGTTATCTCACTAATATTTAAATTATTTCAATGATCTGAAACCTTGAGGTGTTACAAACATGCAAAAAAAATAAGAAATCAGTAAGGGGGCAAATACCTTTTCACACCACTGTGTAGTTATTCTGTGAAGTCAAAAAATGATTGTTCTTTTTACATTATTTTGTAATACAAAGATTATTTATTAATACATTGTATATTTATTTGTATAGGGATCCATGGAGAGCCAGGTATAAAGAGATCAAAGGTGAGTATTTTTAAAATGTCAGTCTTTCCCACACTAAAGATCAGCATAAGACCTGCTGACCTTGCTGATTTGGTTGATTTCAGGTGGACTCTGCTGATGAAGTTGTGAAAAACATAATAAATCACATGACTGATTCCTCAAACAAGTCACATCTGTCCCTGAAGTCAGGTAAGATGCTCTAATGCTCAAATTCTGATTGTGTATATCTATATGAACTATGAATTAAGCTGCATTTCTCTAACAGGAGACAAGGTGGTGCTGTGTGTGAATAATCTGGGCGCTCTATCATGTTTGGAAATAGCTGTGGTCTCCAAAGCGGCCATACACTGCCTAGGTGACACTGATAATCATGTTAATATTATTACTAATATAACATAATAACATTACTAATATATTAATAATACAACATAATAATAACATACTAATATCTGTATTTCATTAAATGAGTTAAACAAAAATATGTAGGAGCTGTTTCGATAGAATTAGATATCATGTATTGACTACAATTGACTGTTTTTGATTGAATGGTGGTCATATCCAGAGGAGCGAGGTGTGCTTGTTGCCAGGGTGATGTCAGGGTCATTTATGACATCACTGGAGATGGCAGGAATGTCTCTTTCGTTAATGAAGGTGGATGAAGAGATGCTCAGACTGTTTGGTGAGTTCTATTTAATTTATTTATTTTTTTGCTGAAATCATTTATAGCTAACAAAATACCATACTGAATGCTTGGTCAATTTTACCATACTTATATCTTCTTTAAAAAATTCTGCTTAACTCAAAAGATGATGTTCAGTTTAACTATAGAAATATATTAGTCAGAGAGCCACAGCATCTGACACACAGAATCATTAGACATCAACTGCTCCAGTGTAGCGGCAGAACACATTTTGCTCACATTTTCTTTCTCTCTGAATAAAGTGATACAATTACATATTCTTGCATTGAGGGGAAAAAAAAAAAAAAAAAAAAATATATATATATATATATATATATATATATATATATATATATATATATATATATGATAGAAAAAAATAACATTATAGATAAGTGTAACACATATTAGGCCAGGTGTGACCAAGCCTGTTCCTGGAGATCGACCTTCCTGCAGGTTTCAGTTGCAACCCATATCAAATACACCTGCCTGTAATTATCAAGTGCTGTTCAGGTCCTAATAACTTGGTTCAGGTGTGTTTGATCAGGGTTGGAGCTGAACTTTGCAGGAAGGTCGATCTCCAGGAACAGGGTTGAGCACCACTGGATTAGGCCAAACAACAATACAGAATATATATAAATACAAATATGCAAAGGGTACAGCAGTAGAAAATAAATTAATAGAAAGAGTAATAATAATAAAATGATTATAATAAAATAAAATAAAAACACTTTCCATTCATAACTAAGCCAGGGGCAGGGATAATATGTCAGCTTTATGCTTACATACATATACACATATTTATTTATTTATTTGTTATTTTTATTTTTAGAGGAAGGGTTGTCAAATACTGTCAAATTTTTTACCATTACCGCAAACTGTACATCTAATCTTTTCTATTTGCATAGACTGCATCAGATCATGCATCCAATGTATGTAACTGGGAAGGATTTTTCTAGTTCAGTGTTATAAGTCTTTTAGCAATTATTAAACAAAGGGTGAGTGCATTTGATTGTGTAAATTATAAGGAAACATTTGTAGGGTTAAGTCCAAATAATGCTACTAGGTGGCAAGGTTCTGTCTAAAAGAAAGCATTCAGAAATTGATTTAAAAATTGATGCCTGAAAAGTGCTTAGTGCTGGACAAAGCCAGAAAGTATGAAAAAGAGTGGCTGGAGCTTGTTGACACCGATTACAAATTGGAGCAAAACCAAGGTTCATTTTAGATGTTTTTGCCTTAGTCCAATATACCCTATGCAAAAACTTGAATTGTATAAGGGAATGACGAGCACAAACAGAAGAGGTTTGTTCACAAGACAGAGCCACGGACCATTCAACGTCTGTGAAAACATGATTGAGATCTGATTTCCAGCTCTGCTTTATTTAAAAAAAGGATGAGGAATCTAACTGTCTAATAAACGAAAAAAATATTTTATAAATTTTAGAAATTGCACTTTTACAAAGTTTTGTATCTAAAAAAAAATGATCGATTTCTTGTTTGGGAGGTGCAAGGGGAAAATGGGAAAATGTATTTCTTATAAATTCACGTGTCTGAAGATATCGAAAAAAAATTGTTTTGTGAAGGTTAATTTTTCTGATAAATAAGAAAATGTAGCAAATGTATTATCACAAAAAAGATCATTAATGCTTACAATGCCACTTCTAAACCATAATACAAAAGGTTGGTCTGAGATAGAGGCAAAAGATGATATTTTGAAGAATGTTGCCAAGCAAAAACAGAGAGTCTCCATTGTCTAGTGAAAGTTGACTAGAGTAGTGAAAAATACTATGACCGTCAATTTAGACCTAAAATGGTTAAGCTACCTATGTTGCTCAAAAACGTCTCATTTTGTGTTTAGCAGAAAACAAAACTCGAACAAGTGATGTGAGATCAAATATAGTGTGAACTAGTCATGGGCTGATATAAGATTCTGATGGTATAATAACCTTGGATAAAAATGTATTGGATAACTGCTCTAAAATATGTTCTTTTTAAATGTCTGGGTGAAAACTAAAACTTTTTTCCCCTTTTGAGCACAAGTTATTTTATTTTGAGAAACATTTAAGATGTTTTGGAGCATGTCAGGCTAAATAATTCAAATCAATTATTGATTTCTGCTGTCTTCATTAAATTCAAAAACACAGATTTCTTTGCAATTTAAAACAGCATCTTTGGATATTTTTTTCTGCTGGAGATACTGTTGTCCTAAAAAACAAACAAAAAATGTAAATAAAAAATCTTACACTTACCTTAGGAACGGTATAGCAGAAAATGTTGGCAGTTTTAAAACCTTGACTTTTCCAAACCGCGGTATACCTTGAAAACGGTAATCGTCCCATATCTAGCGTGAACTATTCCTTTAAAGTATTAAAATTGCTCAAATTCTTTAAACACTATTTACTCTAACTAAATTAGTTGATGTTTATGTGGTAAATGTATACACACAGGATATGTAGTAAAAGTGTGTCTCTGATTTGTTTTTGTCAGATGCTAAAACCACAGCCCCCGCCTGGCCAAACCTCAGCACAAGCTCTGTGAGTGGAAGAAACCTGTTTCTGGAACCTGCTGAAAAACCTGCTGCGGCTTCAGACAAATGTAGTGAAGGTAGAGAGATTATTTATTTTATGACACTATATTATGTAATATATAACATATATTATATTAAAAACAAATAGCCAGACCAAATAAAATGCATCTAATTGTATTGTAGTTATTGTTGTTATTATTATTAATAATAATAATAATAATAATAATAATAATAATAATAACAATAATAATATGTTGTTGTTGTTGTTATTAATAATAATAATTCATTAAATTCTAACTATTAAATTATTATTTCTTTAATTATCACTTATTGAACTGAATTATTTATTAGTACCTTATTGTACATGATGATAATAATAATAATTATTAATAATACTAATATTATTGTTATTTATGTAACAAAGCTATAGACAGGGTGTCCATGAGGTCTTTAAATGTTTTAAATCTCAAAAGGTAAATTTTAGGCCTTGAAAAGTCTTGAATGTACTCAAATGTTGTGTTGTAGGTCTTAAATCTTATTAAACAGGTCTTAATTTTTCTTTGTTCGTGTATAGCTTCCCAATCTTGCCATTAACACCCATACAATCACTAACAATCCGTCTCAGTAAAACCTTTAACTTTTTATTTAAAAATAGCCTTTAATTACTTTTCTTAAAGTTGTTTAAAAGTTCTCCGTTTATTTACTGCTGAGGATACTGAGCTGACCTACATTTGTTATTATTTAATTATTATTATGGTAGACTGAAGTAATTGACAGCTATGTTTTGTTTTCTTTTTGATAAGGGTTGTAGGGTTTGTGAATGCATATATTTGAAAATTAATAAAACAAATATTCAAACAAACTTATTATTATTGCATTTATTACATTTTAATTGTTTTTGATAAAGTAAAAACAATTCTAACTGGGATATTCGGAAAAAATCCTAAGCATTTAACCCTGTAAAAGTCTATAATTACATTCATACTAGTTTTAAAAATGTCTTAAATAGTCTTAAATTTAACTTAGTGAAACCTGCAGAAACCTTGTATAGAACTTATTAAATTATAAATTTATTTTCTTTAATTCTTCTAAAAACTGCGTGGAAATAGTATTTATATTTATAATATCAAAACTGGGGCGAAGCAGTGGCGCAGTAGGTAGTGCTGTCGCCTCACAGCAAGAAGGTCGCTGGTTCGAGCCTCGGCTCAGTCGGCGTTTCTGTGTGGAGTTTGCATGTTCTCCCTGCGTTCGCATGGGTTTCCTCCGGGTGCTCCGGTTTCCCCCACAGTCCAAAGACATGTGGTACAGGTTTGGGTGAATTGGGTAGGCTAAATTAAACCTTGTATATTAGGTGAAAAGTCTATAGCTCTTGATCATCACAGATGTGCTGCTCCACAGGTGCTCTATCATCTGTCATTCGTCTGGTTTTGGAGGCCATATGTAAGATTCTCCTGCAGCGCCAAGAGGAACTCAATGCTCTGGACCGTGCAGCAGGGGATGGAGACTGTGGGAGCACACATGCTCTCGTTGCTAATGGTAAAACTTTTTCAACATTCACAAAATGTGCAAACCAACATATTTAATTTGAGTTAAAGGAGTCCTGTTTTGACTTTTTTATTTTAAAGTCTCAGATGTCCCAGAATGTGTCTGTGAACTTTCAACTAAAAATAACTAAATTCTAATGCTTTTAATGCTCCCTTTTGGTTTCAAGAAAAAAAAACATGCTGTTTTCATGTCCATTTCTTTAAATGCAAAAAAATTAAAGGCTGCTCCCCGCCGCCAGACTTAAGCCCTGCTCACACTGTGCTCACATTGCCTAAGACAAATTTAGGAAATCCTAAAAGATTCCAGTAATTATTAGGATAAAATTGGTGTGACATGTTCACTGACAGCCACTGCAGTCAGATGTTCTCTACAATGAAGTTCTGTCAGTGTCAAGATTTCAAACACTTCTGCAGTGGGACTTCAGCTGTGACCAAGAACCAATAGGAGCACTGAATCTGATGACATAGTCAGCACGACAACTTCCAACCCACAGTCTACAGCAGGGGTCACCAATCTCGGTCCTGGAGGGCCGGTGTCCCTGCAGGGTTTAGCTCCAATTTGCCTCAAAACACCTGCCTGAATGTTTTAAGGATACCTAGTAAGACCTTGATTAGCTTGTTCAGGTGTGTTTGATTAGGGTTGGAGCTAACATCTGCAGGACACCGGCCCTCCAGGAACAAGTTTGGTGACCACTGGTCTACAGTATGTTTGTGTTTACTGTGAGGTATCATTTCAGAATACGGGATAGTGAAAGTGTCTGTTTTTTTTTGCGTGTCCGTGTTCGGCACATCTTCATTGTTTGCTGAGTTGTTGAGTCTGACATTATGATAACTGAGATCTTACAGTGTGAAATGGGAATCATTTTTGTGCAGTCTGACATGTTCAAATTGTTTAGGATTATTAATAATTACACAGTTGAGCTGGGCTTTACTCAAAAAATGTGTATTAAATGCTTTAATTTATTTTTTATCTATCAAATACACATAAAGTAATGCCAAAAGCATTACTTTAAATGCAAAATTATTAAAATGCTTTAAATGCAAAATTTTGTTTGTTTGTTAGTATATTCTATAGCACATTTTTTGCAATGCAACGTTGCCCAAAGTGCTGAACACGATCAGTACTATATAAAATAAAACCTACAGCACATACATAACAATTAAAACATAAGGCAAACCCCTCAACCTCAAAAAGGCTCAACTGCTAAAGAACAAAGATGGAGTTTCAGAAGCTTTTTAAAAACAGATAATAGTTATATGGCATGAACCCGCATTCCCAGCGGATAAAATGTGGCTTATTGAACTTAAAAATATTGCGCTGTTAGAACGTTCTACAGCAAGAACATTAACAGAGCTAAACCCCGTGCAATCAAAGCATGGTCTGATTTTATTGAGAATTTCTTATATAATACCTAGATAATTCTCACCCCAGAATTTTTCTTTTCCTGTGTATTGTTATTTATTTATTTTATTGTTTTAATTTTATTATTATTTTTTTTTTTATGTATTTTTATTTAATGCAAATTTTATTTAATGGCTTGTTTATAGTTGTCACTAGCTATGTATGCTGGCTTTGTTCTGCAATAAATAAATAATCACAAAAAAACAGATAGAGTTGGAGCATGTCTGATGTGGGGTGGAAGCCCGTTCCAGAGTTTTGGGGCGATAACAGCAAAGGCCAGATCCCCACTTTGCTTGCACTGAGACCTTTGTACGGAAAGAATAAACTGATCAGAAGACCTTAGTGACCTACCAGGAATATATACATGTATCAGGTCTTGTATGTAAGGTAGTACCAGATTATTTAAGGATTTAAAAACAAAAATTAATAGTTTAAAATTAATCCATGACCTAACAGGCAGCCAGTGGAAAGAACTGGGGATATGTGCTTATATATGTTAGTCACTGTCAGAAGTCTCACAGCCACATTTTGTACTAATTGCAAATCTATTCAGGGCATTTTGACTAATGCCCACAGATAGAGAATTGCTATAGTCCAGTTTTACCAAAATAAAAGCATGGATCACCTTCTCGAGGTCATTAAAAGAGAAAAATGACTTCACTTTTGCCACAACTTGTAAATGGAAAAAACTAGAAGTATATTGGATTCTTGAAACAGCATCTCTGTTTAATTACTGAATCTGTCTTCATGGGCAGGAATAACTTTAAATCTGGGTTATTGTGTTGTGTACATTAGAAGAAGCTTAGGACTTTCAGAAACAGTTCTTACTGATATCAAGCATAACTACCATTGGACTGATGATTGTTCATTTACAGATTTTTTTTTATGCTCAAAGAGCTAAATTTCAAAGCAAACGTGTAAAAAGCCTAATACCCTTTGCTGTAGTGTGCTGATTAAATGATGTATTAATTTGGCTTTTGGCTGTCATCTTGTCCAGCCATTCAGGAGTGGCTCCAGACAAGCACAATCCCTGGAAACCTTGGTCAGCTTCTGGCAGATCTGGCTCTGCTGGTGCAGGAACGAATGGGAGGATCATCAGGGGCGGTCAGTCAGTGTGTCTTCAACTGATTGGTTACTTAAAAAAATCTGAAAACTAAATGTAATCTTGTATTGTCCAATGACCTGTGATATTATTTTTTTCTCCCCAGTTATATTGCTTGTTTTTGTCTGCGGCTGCCCCCCATCTGAGACAAAACTGTGATGGTGCTGCTTGGGCCAAAGCATTGCATGCTGGGACAGAAGCCATGAAGAGGTCAGTGAGGCCAACTGTAACCCTTCCTCGTCTCTTTGATGCTGTATTTATTGTGGAATATTCAATTAATCCTGTACACTAAAAAACAATGATTCATTAGATTTAGTAAAATGCTTTAAATTGGATGCAAACATTTTTTATTGGCTGAATTTAAACAAACAAATTAAATTTAGTAATGTTCAGCTTAATTTGTTTGTTTAAATTCAGCTTATCTAAACTGTTTGCAACTGTTTACCTTAAAAGTATTTTGTAAATCCAATGAATGAGTTTTTTAGTGTACACCTAAACATGAACAATTTATAATTACAGCTTAAGTTAATATTATAATATCATGATATTATGATATAAAACAATTGTGCAGTTGTGGCACAGTAAGTAAATCTGAGTTGTTTTGTTATATACATTATATTAAAAATATTTCAGACACTGTACACGGTAGAAATTGTGGGGTGTCACACAATTTCTTCATGTTTTTCCAACTCAAATTGATCAAGTTAACTTAATTGTTTTCACAGATTTAAGTGGATTAAACATAAAAGAATGAAGTTGTCCCACAGATTAATCCTAAAAATTGTGCTGTTTCATATATTATTCAATAGGTAGTTTGAAGCAGTTTTTGAGTGTACAAAAATTTGTAATTTAATTGAAAAAACATTTCCTTGTTTTCTTACAGATATGGAGGTGCCGAACCAGGAGATAGGACCATGGTATGACTGATTAATATAGTTTTTTAGTACACAATATTCTGGGGTTAGTCAATTGTAAAGGCAAATTGGTAAATGAATTACACAACCATAAAATATATGGTTTACTATTGATTTATTTTAAATAGATATTTTATATTTCTGAAAAATTATGTAATTCCTCACTAAGGAAACTAAAAATAAAAAGATTGTGGCTTTTTTATTTTTAAATAACTGTTATGATGAAATGTACTAATGTATGATTTTAGAATGTAATTTTTAGCATCATTATTTAAGTGTTTAGATTGGACCATGGTGTATGACTGATTAATATAGTTTTTGTAGTGCTCAGTATTCTGGAGTTAGTAAAGGCAGATTAGTTAATCAATTACACTACCATAAAATATATGGTTTATTATTTAAAATTTGTAATATATTTTGATATTTCTGAAAAATAATTTCATTGCTCAATAAGGAAACTGTAAAAACACAAAGAAAAAAGATACACGGTGGTACAAATAATGTTCCTTAAGAAACAGTTTTGTACCCTTGTAAAAGTTTACCTTATATGGTACAGAAAAGATCTCTTATGATACTGTTCTGTACCTTTTATGTTACAATTGAAATGAAGGTACACAATTGTTCTCATAAAAAAGGTACATGAGCGTTGGACAACCCCTTTAATACAGTACCTATGAAAAATAAATATTACTTTAAAGGCAAAGTGATTTATGAATAATTTCCATATTATAACAAGACGCATCATTTAAAAGCAAATGTTTAAAAAAACGCATAAACATTCATTATTAAGCTTTATAAAACAAAACAACTGGTAAAACAAAACTATAGGTATTGTAAACTAAACATTTAAGCCATTTGTAATAAACGTTTGGTAAGAATTTTTCGTTTTATTACTGATATCCACACCTTTTAGAGTTCAATTCAATTCAATTCAGCTTTATTTGTATAGCGCTTTTACAATGTAGATTGTGTCAAAGCAGCTTCACATAAATGGTCATAGTAATTGGAACAGTGTGGTTCAGGTTTTAGTGTTTAAGTTCAGTTCAGTTCAGTTTAGCTCTGTTCAGTGTGATTTAATCATTACTGAGAGTTCAAACACTGAAGAGCCAATTCATCGATGCGTAGCTCTACCAATCCTGAACCATGCGAGGCAGTGGCGACAGCGGAGAGGGAAAAAAAACTTCACCTGATGGGAGTGAAGAAAAAAAACCTTGAGAGAACCAGACTCAGTTCGGCACGACCATTTTAATTTCTCCGCTGGCCAAAAGTCTTGTGCAGAACTTCATTCGCCGTGGTTTATGCTGGAAGATGGCCTCAATGAAGACTCGTCTGTCCCTGGAGCGTCGCTGGAATCAGACTCATGTTCTCCACTCCCCACGACCATCAGCGCAGCAGCAGCTCAGGATATGGCCTGGTCCCGGATATGGAATCCTTGGGATCATCACGTCGCTGGTCTTGGATCCAATCAGTGACTCCGCCTAATCTGAGGACCTCGGGATGAGTATCCCCAGGTGAAAATAGAGAATAAAGAGAATAATTAGCGTAGCTGCTGTTCATAGTGTATATAAGCAAGATGCAGAAGCCAGTGTGGAACCTGCTAGGTGATGCACTGAGTGTATGCTTTACTAAACAGATAGGTCTTTAATCTAGTTTTGAACTGGGAGAGTGTGTCTGAGCCTCGGACATTACCAGGAAGGCTATTCCAGAGTGTAGGAGCCATGAAAGAGAAGGCTCGACCTCCTTTACTTGATTTTGCTATTCTAGGTACTACCAGAAGCCCTGAATTTTGAGATCTTAAGGAGCGAGTTGGTTCGTAGCGAGACAGAAGGTTGGTTAGATAAACAGGAGCTAGATTATTTAGAGCTTTATAGGTGAGAAGTAATATTTTAAATTCAATACGAAATTTAACAGGCAGCCAGTGTAAGGAGGATAAAATTGGGGTTATATGATCATATTTTCTAGACCTGGTCAGAACTCTGGCTGCTGCATTTTGCACTAATTGAAGTTTGTTAATAGAGGATGCTGGGCAGCCAGCAAATAGAGCATTACAGTAATCCAGTCTCGAAGTCATAAAAGCATGGACTAGCTTTTCTGCATCTGAGATGGATAGCATATTTCGTAATTTAGCGATATTTCTCAGATGAAAGAAGGCAGTTTTTGTGACATGGGATATATGGTTTTTAAAAGTTAGATTGCTGTCTAATATGACACCCAGATCTTTTATAGTAGAGCTAAAGCTAACTTTGTATCCCTCTAATTGTAAATTGAGTTGCGAGATCTGCTGTGTGCAAGATTTAGGCCCAATAAGTAATAATTCTGTTTTGTCTGAGTTTAAGAGAAGAAAATTGTTGGTCATCCAGTCTTTGATGTCTTTGATACACTCAGTTAGTTTAGAAAGTTCAGACGTCTCGTCAGGTTTAGTGGAAATATATAATTGAGTATCATCTGCATAGCAGTGAAAGCTGATCCCATGTCTTCTAATAATGTCTCCCAGAGGTAGCATGTAAATTGTAAACAGTAAAGGGCCTAAAACTGATCCTTGAGGCACCCCATACTTTACTGGGCAGATTTGTGAAGGCTGTCCATTAAGATTTACAAACTGGTAGCGGTCAGTTAAGTATGACTTAAACCATTGTAGAGCCTGTCCCTGGACACCTGTAGACTTTAAGCGATTTATGAGGATATTGTGGTCAATGGTATCAAATGCCGCACTAAGATCGAGTAAAACTAATAGCGAGACGCACCCTCGGTCAGCAGCTAAGAGTAAATCGTTGGTTATTTTCACTAAGGCGGTTTCTGTACTGTGGTGAGCCCTGAAACCTGACTGAAACACTTCAAAAATATTGTTCGTCTGCAGAAAAGAGCATAATTGAGTTGAAACAACTTTTTCTAGTATTTTAGACATAAATGGAAGATTTGAAATAGGCCTATAGTTAGCTAAGTTGTTGGTGTCTAGTTGTGGTTTCTTAATAATAGGCTTAATAACAGCTAGCTTGTAAGAGTTTGGAACATGGCCTATAGATAAAGAAGAGTTGATAATGTTAAGAAGAGGTTCTCCTATAGCAGGTAGCAGCTCTTTCAGTAATTTTGTTGGAATTGAGTCCAGCATACACGTAGCTGGTTTAGAGCTATTTATAATTTTCACTAACTCTTCATGTTCTATGATTTTGAAGCAGTGTAGGTTATTATTATGATTTAATGAAATATTTACAGGATTTGGAGTATAAGCCGGTGCAGAAAGTTTGGCATCTCCTATTTTCTGTCTAAAGCCTTCTATTTTATTACTGAAAAAATTCATGAAGTCATCACTACTAATTTGCGGTGGAGTAGTTTGTTCCAAGGATGACCAATTATTTGCTAATTTAGAGATGGTGTTAAATAAAAATCTAGGATTGTTATGATTATTTTCTATCAGTTTGCGCAGGTGCTCGGTCCTGGCAGATTTTAGAGCCCTCCTATAGCTGGACATACTGTCTTTGTACGCAATTCTAAAGACCTCTAAATTAGTTTTTTTCCATTTACGTTCCAGGGCGCGGGTTGCTGTTTTGAGCGCACGAGTATGACTATTATACCATGGTATAGTTTTAATCTCTCTAGCCTTTTTTAATTTTATGGGTGCCACAGTATTTAGTGTGCTAGTAAAGATGGCATCCATACTGCTGGTTACTACATCAAGATCATTTGAGTTTGCGGGTGCATTACGAAATAGAGAGAGATCAGGTAAGTTATTTATAAATTCATCTTTAGTTGACGGAACAATAGTTCTACTAGGGCGGAGTATTGGAGCGGGTTTGCTGATTTCAGGTAAACATAGCTTATATAGTAAGAGGTAGTGATCTGTAATATCATCACTTTGTGGTATAATGTCTACGTCAATAACCTCGATTCCATAAGACAGAATTAGATCTAATGTATGCTTTAAGCGATGGGTTGGACCCACAACGTTTTGCTTTATCCCAAGTAAGTGTATTAAATCCATAAACGCGAGCCCTAATGTATCATTAGCGTCATCTATGTGGATGTTAAAGTCACCTACAATTAGCATTTTATCAGTTTTGACTAGTAAGTCAGAAATAAAATCAGAAAATTCTTTTAGAAATTTGACATAGGGTCCTGGGGGTCTATATATGGTGATTAAAGCGAGAGATAACATAGGTTTTTGTATAGTATCTGGAAGCTGAACATTAAGCGATAATACTTCAAAGGAGCTAAACATAAGTCCGTTTCTCTGTTTAATATTAAGGAAATCACTAAAGATTGATGCAACTCCACCACCACGACCAGTTTGACGAGCCTCATGTTTATATAAGAATCCTGGAGGAGTTGCTTCATTTAAGCTAATATAGTCATTTTGTTTCAGCCAGGTTTCAGTGAGACAGAGTGCATTAAGATTGTTTTCTGTTATTATTTCATTAATGATAAGTGCTTTAGGTGCAAGTGACCTGATGTTTAGGAGACCAAGTTTTACGAAATTTGTATTTTCACTTTCTACTGGTTTTTCTGGTTTGATTCTTACTAGATTTTTCCTGGAGCACACAGTACGTTTATTTCTTAATCTAATAATACGAGGAACAGACACAGTCTCTAGAGTTTGCGTTCCACTACGCACGTGAGCTGGCAAAAGTCCTGCATATGCAAAGTTTTCATGCTGACATTTTAGTATTGTAAAACTAATCAAACATTGTGCATATCACATTACAGTGCTTTTGCATAATTCTATTTCTATTTTAAAATTAAGTAAATTAAATTAAATTTTAGGTGATTACAAAGGCTTTGTGTGAAAATTGGAGAAAAGAAATGTTGTATTGTAGATGGGAGAATGTATTTCTGTAAAATTTTTGTGAAAAGTGTTGTGAAATGTTTAGCAAAAAATAGATCTTTTTGAGTTATGTCAAAGTATTTTTTATTCTTTATTGTAAATGGAAAAGGTGCATTTACACAAAAATAAACTTTTTATAAACATTTTTTAAAATGTATTTGATGTTTTATGTTTGCTAAAAATACATTGACACATTTTGGATATAGCAAAATGCCTTTAAATAGTTCTTGAAGAAACACATTTGACAGTGTTAAGGTACAAAGTGTCTTGTCACTGTGGTGGCACCTTTATGGATCACATTTGTCCCTTTGATGAAGGTACAATATTGTATCTGAAGGTTTAAAAAAAAAAAAACAAAGGTACATTTTGGTTTTCCATGGGACAAATAATGTTCTTAAAGGTACAAAGTTTTTTCATTAATAATATTAATAACTCTTGCCTTTTGTCTTCTCTTTTAGCTGGATGCCCTGTGCCCGGCTGTGGAGGAGCTGAAGAAACTGTCCACAGCGCCTCCTGGTGGTCACATTACTGTGCTACAAGCAGCAGTGGAGGTTTGGAGAATTAGTTAAACCTTCTTGTTTACTCATAATTGCATCTATAACGTTGGCCTTTTGCTTGTCTGTAACAGAAAGCAGATTCGGGAGCAGAATCGACCCGTAATCTGACTGCGAGGGCTGGACGTGCCAGTTATGTCGCGTCTGAACATTTGACCCAGCCGGACCCTGGGGCAGTGGCGGTCGCTGCCATCTTGAGGGCCGTACTCGATGCTTTAAAAGCCTAGAGTTAGAGAAGCTCACTAACATTATGCAAGGAAGAAAGGCTGTTGATTACTACACGTTCAAGAAGATGAAATATTAAAATACTCTCCAATCAAAGGTTATTGTGACATTAGTAGGTATTTTCAGCATTGTTTGACTAACAGCAATCCTGGCTCTGCCATTTTGGGTTGTTCAAATAACCCTATTAAAGGGGTCATGAACTGGTGTGATTTATTTTGTAGTTTTGTTAGACGTCCGCTTATATATGTGTATAATGTTATCAGGATTTACACATCATGTAATAGGATATTTTTTGACCTCCTCATTGGAACACACTGGTTAAAAAGGTGTCAGATTGTCGGCTCTTGAAAATAAACACTCACTGATGTAATTGGCTGATTGTTTGCTTATACAGTAACATTTTTTAGAAAAGTTGGCTAAGGACAGCTGTGTGTCCACCAATGTACAATTCTGCATACATATTAATAATAATGTTTATTTTATATAGCACCTTTCCATTAATCAAGGATGCTTTACAAGGTGATAACAAAGTAAAAAAAAAATAAATAAATCAATGCATGTTTGACTGCCTACATCCTTCATATTTGGATAGTGTTGTGTACCTATTACAAAATCTCTAATAACAGACAAAGCAATAGTGATTCCTAACAAATTTTGTGTAAACTGTCCCATTTAAGATGTTAAGACCTGATTCAAGAAACAAAAACAAATGAACGAATAAAACTTGCTGAAATATTGTTTCATAAAACAGCACTTCTCCTTTTCATGTAATTTTGTCTTGATTTAAGAATGTCTTACATTTTGCAAAAGTAAAGACAGATGACATTTTGCACTGTGTCTTTGATTTTCATTATAGTACTTCTTTACTTTTAATAAATAATGTCGGAATTTCGCTTTTTTATGAATCTCTCCCTTTAATTTGATTCTCAGAAGCACATACGCACGCTTACATGAGCCTACCAACTGCAAAAAATAGTAATAATAGTATAAATAAAAATAAATATTATGTATTTAAAGTTTTGCTGATACTATAAACACGCTTTGGCATTTTAAATTAGTTTATTTCCAGGAGAGGGGGCTGGATGCAGACCTGCTGCAAGGCGATTTGAGCTGCATCCAATGCTTTGTAATGGGTTTACCTAACCCTACCCCTCACAGTGACATCACTAGCTCCATCAGAGTGCATTGTGTCTGACATTGCATCACTGAGAAATGCAGTCTCAGCTTGCATCATGAAGGCTGCATCCAGATACAGATACTGAGAAACATGAATAAAGTACTCGATAATATAAAATAAACACTACATAAAAATAAAAATCACGTCCCATGTTGCAAAAGTTAATTTACACGATTTTACCGCAGTCAACCATTGAGGAGGTATGAATGTAGAGAAATTTAGAGAGGTTTTTTATCCTGATTATCGTTTTTCATAATCATGGAGGCCAAAATCAAAGCTGAATTTTGATTGTTTGCACAGTCTTGGTTAGAAGTATTACAGTGAACTCGTAGCAAATTTGATTTGGTACACATGTAGGTTAAGAGTTAAAGGAGCATTACTTAATTTGAAGTCAATTAAATAACTGGTCGGGACATTTCAGTAATTAGTGGAGACTGGTGGGGACACGTCCCCTCTGACCATGCCAATTCTACACCCTTGCTCTAAAGGCACCATTGGTTGTAGCTAATATGCTTTTGTTACTTGTATTATTATGTTAATATGTTTGTAATACTCACTGAAGCTAAGCAAGGCTGAGCCTGGTCAGTACCTGTGTGGAAGACCACATGGGAAAACTAAGTTGCTGTTGGATATGAGGGGTGTTGGAAGAGAGGCCAGCAGGGGGCGCTCAACCTGTGGTCTGTGTGAGTCCTAATGCCCTAGTTTAAAGAAGTCTCTCAAAAAATTCTCTCAAATTCTCTCAACTCTCAAAAAATGTAACTACACGTCGCAACGAAGCATAGCGCAAGCTTTGTAATTTAGTTGGCTTATACTTCCCCTGTCACTCAACACAGAGGAACATAAAACCTCACTGCCAGCTAGTGTCTCGGAAGTGTTATTGTAGAGTAACACAAACAGCATGCAGAAGTTCAAATGCACGGCAACGCACAATGCATGCGTCGTGGGTCAGGCCGATCACTCGACGCAGAAGTATGAACCATGCTTTAAACCAAGGTCCTGACTCTCTGAACTCTATCACTCTCTCTCCACTCCACCAATACCTGATGTGTGATGAGTGCGCTGGCACCTTTGTCCTGTGGCTGCTGTCGCATCATCCAAGAGGATGCTGCACACTGGGGAATACTTATCTTGGCTCTAAGAGGTAAACAACAAAAAAATAAGATCAAGAATCTTGGTATGACACTGGAGTCAGATCTGAGTTCCAGTAGTCATGTCAAAACATTAACTAAATCATCATACTATCATCTCAAAAACATTGCAAGAATCAGATGCTTTGTTTCCAGTGAGGACTTAAAAAAACTTGTTCATGTTTTTATCAGCTTTAGAGTGGATTACTTTAACGGCCTCTTCACGGGCCTTCCCAAAAAGACAGTTGCAGCTCATACAGAACGCTGCGGTCAGGTTCTGACCACAAGCAGAAAATTAGAGCACATCTACCTGTCCTCAGGTCTCTACACTGGCTCCCAGTTACATTCAGAATAGATTTTAAAGTGTTATTACTTGTCTATAAATCACTAATTGGCCTAGGAACTCAAGCACACGCATGCTCTGGCGCATATGCTCTTTCTTTTTTATTCTTTTATAACCTGTTTCAACAAATTTTAATCTGTTTTTAGTAATTTTTATCATTTGTTTTTTTTTTCTTATAATTGTCTTTTTTTGTTGTTTATGTAAAGCACTTTTAATTGCTATTGTGTAGGAAATTTGCTATAGCCTAAATAAACTTGCCATGCCTTGGTGGTGTGGGTAGACACATTACATTACCCAACCCACAGTTACCTGACAATCCTGTTTCTGTGCCAAGCTTTTTATTTTATTGAGGTTATGACGTAACTGTGGCGAGTTTCTTATTACATGTGTGAACGCAGATAATAACAAACTGCTGCTATAAATTAAGTTATAAATATTGTTATAAAAGTTAACTTTAAGCTCATTTTGAGTTAAAAAAAAAAAGTGAAAATGTGCCTTTGAAACCTAGTTACACAATCACATTCAAATCGGACATCTCGTTTCGTTTCTCTTTTCTTTACTTTTCTTTACATTTTTAAACACTTTTTCTAGTCTCATACCGCCGGTTTCCTGACTTCCTGTATCTTCACATGCACACTCACACATAAACAGCAGGTTTGCGTCAAACAGCGCAGTAATATTAACAGCTTTTTTACGCCAGCTGAATGACAGACACTTCACTGAATTATCACCACCTGGTAAGCACGTTGTAAATATACATAACCCGTGTATTTTATGCTATATTTAGGGCTTTTTTCTGTTATACTATTCATTGATATGCACGTTGTTGTTTGTATGAGAACGTGACCAAGTAAAGTACCTCGCTTCTTATTTGACATTATATGTCACACATAAATCAAATGAAATACCAATATGTGCTGTCTGTATAGATGATTAATCAAGCCATTTACTAGACTTGAGAACATTTTACAAAAAGTAAACTGTGCCACAGTGTTTACCACAGGTGTCTATGCCTTTAGCAACTGAGATCAAAGTAAAGCTCAACCGTTCTGACAGGAAATGGAATCTAAGAACTAAACAATAAACTGCAGATGAGCAGTAAGAGCTGCATGCATGCTGACGATGTTATTTTGAAGTGTGATATTTTCAGTTGACTATAAAGAATAGAACTTGATTTATATATAATCACGTTATATGTAATCATAGTAATTACTATAATTACTGGCTATTTTAGCAACGCTTTTCTTGTCTGTAACCCACAGAGATGGAGTTTGCCTGCAGTCATGTTGTGTGTAACTGGAGGTCTGAGAGCTTAACAGAAGATGAAGCTAAAGTGTCGAATCAAGGTTAGTTGTGTGCGGTGCATGTGTTATGGAGAGCAGAAAAATGCAAGGTATTCATCTTTAAAATATACCACTAATGCAGATCAGATATACAGTGATTGTTTGTATTTTAAACCATGGTTTGAGAGAGCAAGCTATGCTTGGATTTTCTATGCTCTCTGTAATAAAGATATAAAAGAAGTCAATGTGGCTGTAGGTTTCCAAAAGTTATGTTTGGGGCTGCACAATGTATCATTTCAAGTTCAATATTGCAATGTGATCCTTCGCAATAGTCACATTGCAGGATATGCAATGTTGAGTTTGTATTATAATTGGTCATTTGCATGTGTCTTTGATGCCTGTGATTGTATAATGACCTCAATAGCATTTGCCATAAGAAATTGTACCATTTGTGACTTTAACAATGATTAGATTTATTGAATTATATTTATTTTTATCATTCAGTTATTGTACTTAAATACTGTTAGACTCGAAAATGATAAAACACTTTATTTAAGTTGTATCTTTGTCTTGACTGTATTTATAGATGAATTGTATTGTTATGCATGAAAATACTCTCAACACATGCAAATACAGAAATGCACTGCAAACAGCAGAGACCACAATGAAAATGTATTGGGTAACCACAAAAAGTTTATAGATTGTTTATTAGATTTTATGAAGATGCACTCCCACTGCAGAATCATCCCAATTCATCTAACATTATAAATTCTTTCCAAATAGAAATATTGGGGTTTTTGGTTGAAATTGTATTCATTTCGCAATACAGTATATATTTCAAAAAATATTGCAGTACTAGATTTTTCCAATATCGTGCAGCCCTATAGTTTATACCTACAGGGTTCATGTTGCAGGCCCGTATTTGGGGGGGTTCGGGTGGCTAGAAAGACCTGCCCAACTGAGAAAGGTCCAGAAATTGTCCCCTACATGAGCTTATTTGCCCTATTTTGACTGCTATGCCATAACGAATTGTGAAAATAACCCATCAAAAAAGGCTTTAAGACCAAGCAGAATCTAGTGTAGGCTATCAGTACAGAATATGGGACACCGAATTTGACAATTTTGGTGCCAAATTCGGCATCCCAAATTCTGACTGAGCAAAGTTGAATGTGCTGGCCAGTTTGTTATTTGCCTTGTAAACGATAATATGCTACACTTTTTTTATTTAAAAACTTTAACAGATTCCTATTTTTGTCTAATGAAATATTATGTAATAAATTAGTATTTTTAAAATAAGTATTGTATTTTTTTGTAAATATTATTGTATTTCAGTAATCTAAATCTTTAGTAAATGTTTTTGGAACATCAAAAAGTGTAGTCATGATGACCATCCGACAAGCTAATTCAGGAAAAGAAAGTGCTTAAAATGCAGAATTTAATCCTAATAATTAAAGAGAAAATGAGGCGAATTTATACTCAACACTCTTAGACATAAAATTACACAAGCTGTCACTGGGGTGGTATCTTTTTTCAGAAAGTACATGTTTGTACTTAACTCAGATGCATATATTAGTACCTAAAAAATTTTATGAAGAACACTTTCGTACTTTTAAGGTACTAATATGTACCCTTGAGGTCTTAATATGGACTTTTATGTACAAATTTGTACCTTTTCAAAAGGTACCATGGTACCCCAGTGACAGCTCTTGTACATTTATTTCTGACAGTGAAAGATACACTGAAAAAAAATGTACATTTGCTGCTGGTGCAAGCTTCTTATTTCAAATAAGCTGAAACAACACAATTCTTGAGAAAACCTTGTTTTATGTTCAATCAACTTAAATTAGCAAAAACTAATTAGTTAACTTAATTCATTCATCTCCCAACACAAATAAATTGTGTGGAACCCAGCATTTTTAACAGTGTACCTTTTAGATAAAAAAGTACTGCCAATATATTTCTAAAAGCACAGAAG